ATTTCAAATCATTTATACTTAGAGGACTTGAGCCATTGTGAGATTACTTAATCAGTCTAGCTATTCTTTAGATTATGCACTTAAAACGCATCTAAATGCCCACAAAGCCCGAAGTGTCCGATATCAGGCAATTATTATGTGTCCCTGAATCGAAAATCTTGCATAGGTGGTGTATGAAAAGTTACACTCTGTTCTAATTACCACAACGATCAATGGAATTTGCTCCCCGAACACACGAAGAAGGTAAATGAATCCAATTACGGATTGAATGAATCATCATGATGGTCAAAGTTAATTTGTTGTGTGTAAATATATTTAGAAAATTGGGATGAACGTTTGATTCCTTTTGAAACATAAGTTATCACAAGAATTGGTTAAAGTTATGATATAATAGAGAACTCAAAGGTCTTCATTGAAACAGGATGTCTGAACAACGGGGTCAACATGAATGTCACATGAGAGCCAAACAGCAGATTTAATAAATGCGCTTTCTCCATCTAGAGGTTGTAAATGTCAGTCTACCATCACCTTAGGTTGACTAGAACTCATGATAGATAAGGAAATTGAAATTCATCAAAAAACGAGAAACCAATGGTTTGAAGCTAGGACCACAAGTCAAAATGTTGGAAACTCAACTTGAATTAAACAGAAACAGTACAATACAGACTTCAATAATGACGAAATAAAACTCAATGCTATTGACAAGCAAAATGTGAGGGTGTCGAAGAGCAAATAAATAGGGTAAAAACACTCAGACATTCCGGGGAGGGACAAAATCAGAAAGAATATTGTCTTTCCCACCAAAATATTTATTACGATTAAACGGCAAAATCACCACTTTTATGAACGTAAAGAAATACAATAATAAAAAACAAATGTGTTCAAAGAGATATTGGCATAAAACAATGCTCGAGAAACAGAAAATGAGTTATGAAATGAAATTACTGAGGCTATACATTAGGTATGTAAAGTTAATAATGATATCATAACGAATCTCACATAAGCCAATACAAAACAGGCTACAATCAAGAATTGTCAACAAACAACAAAGATATTTTATTCCGATTAGTTAACGAAAGTAGGGCATATTTCAACAGGCCTTGAGAGCATAAGAAAATATAAGATGCCGAGAAGTGACTCTGTGGCCTAAATGATAAATAGAAGGTAGATTAAAGGTATACAAACATCAAACGATTTTTGCCTTAATTCTGTTGGTGTAAGAGAATAAGAAAAACGGTAAAGATGAATGTGCATGCAAATTTATAAAAATATAGAACTGCGGAAAAACAAGAATCGGTAGAGCCATTTTGATCGCCTGCATCCGAAGAAGGAAGATAACCCCAGTAGCTAAGAACAATATTTTATTTTAATAAAAAAATTTACATTCAGAGTACCATTTCCAAGACACGTAGCGGTGCCAAAATATTAGCCGTCAGTGTACACAAATAATGGGACTCAGATTTTCATCGAAGACAAAAGAAGATCATGAAAAGTTGAAAGTCTAAACAGCATGAGGCATCAATAATGTGATCAAAAAAGTGTAATGACGGGAGGGACTAAATGCGTTAATTATGAAAGGGATAAGAAACACACACGCAAGGTGTGTGCAGAGTGAATAAAAAAGATAATTAAACTGTATATGCTCCAATGACAGCCAAGATGTACGCACCTAGGATTCTGCCAGGTACTAAAAAGAAAATAATTGAAAGTAAAGATAAAAATGACAAGGAGAGTAAATACCAATTTTACATTATAATTAATCAAAATTAAATGATAACAATTGGTGGAAGATGACATTTGGAGACTGATTCACAAACCATCTAGTCCTCAAACAAATAACCAATTACTTAAGAAATACAAAAGATCCAGAAATTTAGAGATATTTTTTCTCAAAATCTTCATGAAAAACTTAGTATAAGCATACATGTATAAGGACCTCGGATAGCCCACTACATAATAATGCAATAGTAGTTTGACCATTTTTTAGGAGCGACAGAAGACCTTGTGGAGTGTACCTAGTTCTGAGTCCTCTGCAAAAGTAGTCATAATATCCAGCACCGGAGCGATGATGCACAGAGTTACAATAAATCAAATGAAGAGAATCCCCTTGACCGTCATAAAATATTTACTCCCCCCTTCAGTTTAGCCTCTAGCGCTGCACCCCTATCTTTCAATCCTATCTTCAAAGGTCAATTTGCCTATTCACACACTTTTGTGTCTTAGTTTGCTTCAATATCGTCTAGGAGTGCCACCTCAAGTGGATTTAGTGAAGCGTAATCACCTTCATAGTTGGTTTCAGGTGCCATTAACCGGGCTTCTAGGACCAAATCAGGACCAAGCGGATCCCCTCGGTTCCGCTTGTCAGGTGGCCCCAGCTACGCCTGAGCATCGCTGATAATAACCAATATAAGCAGTCAAAATCAATATAATACATGAAAGATATAAATACATTGTCAATACAATAGTTGGGCCTCAGTAAATGAGTTAAGTGGGTCTGAGTGTTTGTATATCTGAACGAAGAGATGATACGACTGAAAATAGTAGTCATCAACTAACACACACGTGCAAAAATGTCTAATAAATTAGTTTAGGTGGGGCAAGAGTGTGGATTATGCGATTAGAATTAAGGGAGATGAAGCGTTTCATCTCCACACTAGCGGTTTAAAATGGAACTAGGCATAGGGCCCCAGAGAGTAAGAATGGATGGGGATGGGAAGGAGGAAAGCTTGATTACGGGCCTGAAGCCTAAAGACGAGAGAAACAATTAAAAAATCCTCGAATATGGAGTAGACAAGGCTCGGAATCGGAGTGGAGAGGAGCTAAATGAAAATGTTGATTAATTCTCAGAAGCCCGGCTAACAGCACCCGAAACTGGCGCTAAGGGTTATTACACTCCATTAAATCCACTTGAGATTGCACTCTTAAGCGACATTGGGGCAAATGAATGGTTAAATGGAATATGATAAGTGATATTGAAAAATAGAGGTGCAGCTCTGGAGGTTAAGATAATGGGGAGAGGAGATAAGCCACAATGGTTAAGCATAAAATTGGTCAAGGGGATCGCAGACAAGGTAAAGAGAACTTCAATGGCATCATCAACTGTAGGAAAAGCTCCACTGTCATTTCCTAAAGCATCTTAAGCGATAGTGCCTAAGCTGTAATTAAAGAACTTGTAGCAACCAACCTCCGTTTTTTCTCATTACAACTGTTGGCTTCATTACATCACGGAGACAGGTATCTTCTACGCAAAGGTAACTAGTGAATATAAGTAGGCTGATAAGTTGTAACCCTGTGCTAATGATGGCGCCTCTCGCTGGCGATGCCAGCAAGGCGCCTAAAGATGTACCGAATCATCGCCCCGAGACTGGAAAATATCATGAATGAGAGGACTCAGGATAGGTACGTTCGACAAGGTATTTCTGTCGTTCCGACTAAGTTACGAAAATGAGGTCAAGACCATACGACTAAAGGTGAATGAGGAAAATCGAATATATCATTTTAGTCATACTATTACAAACTCTATAGCCACGAAGATGAACTCCAATAAACTTCTCAGTTATATTCTCAAACGTAATAAAGCAAATTTCCATGATAGAACGCTTATAAAACGATAATTAATCATACTTTTAGCAATGACTCACTTGTTTAACAACAGAATTGATGAAATCTTTTTTATCAGTCAAGTCGAAGTTGGGATAATACTCAAATATCTGAAGGGGAAATACAAAGGCATAAATAGTTTAATTAATAAGTGGTTCCAAAAAATATATTACTTTAGCGCAAGCTGAAGAATCAAAGGAATGAACCAATGAAAAAGTGAGACAAGCCTTGCTAACATGAAAACAATCAAACGCAAGTTATTGTAGACAATTAATTCGAAAATAAAGTAAGATGCAAAATAATATGAGAATAATTCAACGACTGAGAAAATGAAATAATGAGCAATACAGAAGTCAAATAAATTAAAATTCATTCTTACCTTATCCCGCACAACTCTTAACGAAGTAGTCTCAAGATTTACTTCTTCAAGAAGATTAAGGACCCTTTTCTTTAATTCTTCATCAGAGGGTTTTTTAAAGACTTTTAGAGGTACGTCCTCCTCGGTATCACCTTCCTTAACTAAACTACCTTTTTTTGCTTTCTTTTTTGTGGGCTTAATTGGAGCAATATCGGGGCCCATGTCAGATTTAGCCTCGTTCTCAGAATAACCATCTGAGATAATGCGTCTTTTAACGGATGTAGGCCTGTTTGCGTTCTTTGACTTCAAGGTATGTGACGCTATTTTACGAGTGGCTTTACGACCACTCTTTTTCTCCCTCTCCAAGGACTCAGAGATAGACTCTTTATCATCGCCACTGTTACTAATCAT